CTTTTTCAAAATAAGGCTCGTTCCTAACGTCCTATATGACACTATAAATATTTAATTAATATAACAATTTAATAGATATGTGTAACGATTAATATTCACGCTCCTTATAGCGATAACTTCTAATCAAAGAGATTTTTATTTAATTTCTTTATTATAATAAGCCGATTAAAATCATATCTTTTTCCGACAAGAGAATTCGGACAGACAGAGCCATTCGATTATCTGCCTATTACGTTTAATCACAGCTATGGACAACAACTCGCAATACACAATTTCAATAAAGAAGGAGCGAATAATCAACGGCCCTCGTGGCCCAATTTCTTCACGATCCTCGGTTGCGGCTCAATCGGCGAAAGGACGAAGAAAAGTGTGCGATAACGTTATCGCCCCAACATAATATAATGAAAGAACATCTATTCGTATCGAAATTCCTTTCCGACTCTGGGCGTTGAGCGTCAAGAGGATCTGGATTAGCCGAGCGGAGGTGCGAAAGGGCCGTAAATGGTTAAACAGTATCCGTGGAACCTGAAATCTAGATCGCCCAGTCCCCGAGTCTAGAAAAAGTCTCGGCGAGCGTCTACGTGCAGCAAGCCTTCGTTCATCGAAGAGCGATAGTCGAACGGACAGATGGAAAGACAGTGAACTCGATGAGAAGGAGGAGAAGGAGGAGGTGGAGGAGGAGATGGAGGAGGCAATGGAGGAGGGGCTGCGATGGTGGTGTCATGAGCGGTTGCGGCGGGTGCGGGGAAATAAGTCGACACTCGTCGGGTAGGATGCGGAGGCAGTATGTAGGATCCTGAAGCGAGGCAGCGAGGCGCTAAAGTGTGCCGCCGCGCTCCTAAGTGGAACATCGCTGCCTGGCACCAACGCGCGCGCAGAAGTGTACCAGGCCTGGGTCCGCTTCGCCTCACCTCACCTCATCTGACCGCCCCCCCCCCATCACCGCCAATTCCCTCGCTCTCTTACTCACTCGCTCTCTCTCCTCTCTCTCTCCTCTCTCTCTCTCCTCTCTCTCTCTCTCACCCCCCCTCTCTATCACTCTCTCGCTCGCTCTCTCGCTCGCTCTCTCTCTCTCTCTCTCACCCTCTCTCATTCACTCACCTCGTTCACTCGCTCGCTATCCCCTCTACGCTACCGTCGTACCGACGACCCGCGGTGAAAGACTTTCTTCGCGGGCGAGAGCGCGGTGAATACGAGCCGACCGCAAGAGGCTGCTGCCGCTCTCGAAAGCCGAGTTGCCTGGATGTGGGACCAAGATTTTTGCTCGGAGGACAATGCCGCGTTTGTTTCTCAGCGCGCGCTCTCTTTCCTTTTTGCACGAGAACCGGTCCGACCTGCGTCATCCGCCTCACCACTGCGCCTCCCACCCTCCTCCAGCTCCTCGAGCCCCCACGTTCACTCCCCGTCTCTCCCTTCACTTGCCCCTCCTTACCTTAACCCTGTTCGATTTTCCCCCTTGTCGGCCTTCGCCGCTCGTACACTGGCGGCTATCGCTACCCCTCGCTACCACTCACCGCCACTTGCCGATTAGTCGAAAAACCAGCGACCGGGAGGCTCGATCGGCGTAACGAAGCATCCCCTGGCGTTTAGGGGCCGGTGAGCGGCCGACGTCGACGTCGATGAGCCGACGAGCGCAGCGGTTGCGCAACCCGCCTCGAGTATGCTCTCTCGAGTATGGAAGAGTCGGTCCCCGGGCCCGCCTAAAATATCTGGGTCAGCGCTGCCCCCATACAGCCGGGGGCCCGTCGAAACGAGCCGGGCCCGTTATGTCTCTATCTATCTTTATGCCTGCATGCGCGTATGCGTATGCTTATACTCGTTGAATACGCATGCGCGTGACTGTGTGATGTCGCGCGAGCGCGCACCGGTCCTCCGGAATTTCGGGTCGCAGGTTGCATCGGATGCCGGCCGACCCCGACCTTTCGGCGCTTTTCCCGTTTATGGCGCGGCGGCCATTGAAGCCCGTCTAAGGAAAACACCGGCGGCTTTTGCCTCTGAATTTACCGGTTCCCCCTCGAGAATTCGTGGCGCTTCTCGGAATAGAGACGTCGATTTTCGTTGCAGTGGTCAGCCAGTGGAAACCGTTAATAAGATAATCGAGCGGACGGAAGGGGATTCTCGTCCGTTGCTGTGACATGGAAACAGCGCTGGAGAGGCTGCCGGTGGGTCGCGGGATCGAGGCCTCGACGAGGTGCCGCGATGGTGGTTGACGTGTATCTCGATGGTCACGCGTGAGTTGGGTAAGGATTTGGCGTATTGGTTGTACGATCGGTGGGCCATTCCATTAGGTGAGGCTTAAGGTTTGGCGATAACGAGACGATGCCGCTAACGAATGTGCTCGCTCCTTGTCCGCGCGAACGTGCTCTCCTTGCGCTTATCGCAATAAAGGAGGGAGTAAGCAAGGCGGAAGTGACGATCGAGGATGTCGTGGTACGATCATGAGCATAGTCGTCAAAATTCTGCGGCCATTGATTATTCCCCACTCTGCAATCTGTTATCATCAGTCGTCTTTGGCCTCTCCTCTTCCATTATCATTCGAGCTGGCCATATTTCTTCGATTAATTAAAATTATTGACTTTGCAGGTGCGCCCGAAGATATGGACGCGATAGTTTGTACGTAGGCGTAGTTTAGACAGCTACGCTCCTATGCGTCTACAGTACGTACGTAAAAATAGTCGAGGTACGGGTTCTATCTCTTCCTCGTCTTTCATTCGTCGCTGAGCGACCATTCGATTGAGAAAAGGATAAGCAGTTGCAACGAACGAATTTCAATATTTAATTCTGATTAAACAACGCGTTGTGGCAAAGGCAAACCCGTTGCGTTAAGGACAGCGATACCCGCTCGCCACTGTTGCTTACTGTTTTGCCATTAAATTTCGGTAAGAGAATTGAGAATTTAGCGTCCTTCGGACTTGGTGAGAATGTTTGGCTGGTTGAAAGAATAAACAAACAAAACAAAGACAAAGAAAAAAGAGAGAAGAAGAAGAAGAAGAAGAAGAAGAAAGAGAGGAAGAAGAAGTGTGAACGTAACGATGGAGAATTATAAAAATGACGTTACTTTTTTAGTTGTCCCACCCATTTAATCTAGAAAAAGAATTTGAAACAATTTTTGAAAGGTCCACACAATTATTTTAATGATAAATTATAAGCAATGTTAAGAAAATATTTGTACATTATATTACATGAGATATATTAATAATAGTTATAGAAAACGTATTGTTCCTAATATCATGTTCACCATTTTCCAGATGCAGTTATAAGAAGGAAAGGAGACATAGTCTGATGAAGAAGGTTGGAATAAAAAAATGTTTGGTTTACACAGATGTGCGGTAACAATCAAATTTTTAATCAAACATCAATATTTATAAATAATTATTTGTTTTCTGACTTTATACAAAGTAATAAATTCAAGTCGACGATAACGCACACCGGACGAGAATGATGGACAAAATGACAGATTATAAACACGCGAAAGGTCTGCGAAAATCTTCCTGAAGGCTAACGCAAGACGACATTTATCATTATATATTCATTTATGGATATACACATATATATATATATATATATATATATATATATATATAGATGTATATAGATATATATGGACATACGCACACGTACATATAAAAACTTGCTTACGCATTTGCGAGTTGCGCATGTAACGTGCTCGCGCGTATATGTATAATGGATACGCCTGAGTATGCGCTTGCGCCTGCATGTGCGTGTATGTGAGCGCAGGCATATGCAGCATGTGTACAGGCAAATGTACTGGATTTTTGTTTCTCATGTGGAGTTTAACGGAATCAACCGTCTCTGTTTTCACTTGTGCACGCAACAAGCTAAATCGCGCTTTACATTTTTCGTCCACGATCGTCGCACGTACGCAGTGTACCATATTTATCTTTATCGACGACTTCGAAGCATAGAGATAGACAGAGAGAGAGAGAGAGAGATAGAGAGATAGAGAGAGATAGAGAGATATAGAGAGAGAGAGAGAGAGAGAGAGAGAGAGAGAGAGACGAAACAAAAACAAAAAGAAAAACAAAAAGAATGGGTAAACAAAGAAATAAAACTATAAATGAAACAAAGGGTAATGAAGAAGAAAGTAATAATAAACACAATGTGAACTGTCGATTGATCGCAACCCGTATGTGTTGGCCTACAATTTATGACCTACTTCCCACAGTGAGCAGAAGGAAGTGGGGAGGACGGAAGCAAAGTAAAATTTAATAAACCAACAGAAAAGCCCGAGAGTCGTGGTTTGTGCGTAAAAATCTATCTCTATTGCGCGCAAGTCATAGGCGGCGAGAGTTTATTTTTTAGATAATGAGCCGCGACATTAGACAAGCATTATCAATTAATAAATATTATTTACGCGGAGATATATATATATATTATAGCTTGTCCATGCAATATGCGCCTATCATCACTTTTCCTTCATAATTATTCAGCATAATGCGACGGAATGTACAAGAGCGTTATAGATAAGGGTAAACTTGAAAGAGAGAGAGAGAGAGAGAGAGAGAGAGAGAGAGAGAAGGAGATGAGGCTAACTTAAGTAGCGATCGCGATTCAGAAGACTATATTACAACGCAATGAAATTATACGCGGCGAATAAATAATAATCAAAGGGCTCGGGGCCGTAGATGGGGACGATGAAAAGTACAATAGATAGATAGATAGATAGAGAGAGAGAGAGAGAGAGAGAGAGAGAGAGAGAGAGAGAGAGAGAGAGAGAGTGGATGGACGAATAGGAAAATTGAAAATCTGATGAGACGAATTAAAAACGGAGAGTGAACAACGATAGCGAGATAATTTATTAATGGTAAAAAGGGAAAGAAGATATGCATATAGTGCGATGAGGCTGGGATGAGGGGCCTGGGTGAAGGAAAAGAAAGATGAGGACGAGGATGAGGATGAAGGATGAGAAGATCGAGGGATGTATAAAGAGGGGGTGGTAAATTCGGGTGGTAGATAGGGGTGGTGAGGAGGAGGAGAAGGAGGAGGAGGAGGGGGCGGGGATAGTCAAACAAGACGCAACTAAGGTCAGTCCGTAGCAGCTGTAAGAGCGTAAGGTACACTAGTGCTAGCGAACGCCTCGGACTTCACGGAGCCGTCGATCGTCCGACCATGACACGGGAGCTTGTGGGACAATTTTGTTGTGTGTACGTGTGTGTTTGTTCGCTTGTGTGAGTGGTTGTTGCATGGGCATATCGCTAAGGCTCCCGGTCGGCTCGTGGCCGAGGAGAAGAGGGAGCGCGTCGTTAAATCGCGCGTTCCGTCTCCTAGAAAATTTAGGCGTGGCCCGCGTATGTCGGCCGCGAGGCGAGATCCTTGGGCCGGTGAGGACGCCGGTCTCTAGTCCCTGCCAATCCTCTTATGTATCTGCTGGTGCTTGATGAGGTGGGCCTTCTGGCGGAAGGCCTTGCCGCAAACCTCGCACCTAAACGGCTTCTCGCCCGTGTGCGTCCTTAGATGGACCTTGATGTTGCTCTTGTTGAGGAAGCCCCGATTGCAGATGGAGCACCTATGCACGGGCTTCTCCTTCCCGGCCATGAGGCCGGCTTCGGGCCCATACGGTAGGGAGGTGGTCGTCGTCGAGCCGGGACTCTTTTTCGTCGGGCTGTGGCCACCACCGGAGGGTCGCGAGCGCTTACGAGGATGCTGGGGCGCGGCGAACGACGAGTGCAGCTGCTGGTCGGGGCTGCAGGAAGTCGAGACACGCCCGGGCGGACTCACCGGAGGGTAGGGGCTCGTCGACGAGGGTGTCTCGCCGCAGGAGGCCTGCAATCGCTGCTGAAGCATGGGCGAGTAGCCGTGAGTTAAGAGACTCTGTAGAGTCGAGCCGTGTTGCTGCTGCTGTTGTTGCTGCTGTTGTTGCTGCTGTTGTTGTTGCTGTTGCTGAGAGTTGGGAGCTGTCGTCGTTGCGTACATCTGCGAGTACGGGCTCGATGAGTTCGTCTCCTGGGCTTTGGGCGAGCAAGCGGTGTCGATCCATTCGGCGATGTCGATCCAGTCGCGCGGTGACACCTCGGGCTCGTGCTCGGACGTGGGCCCATTGCTCGCCGTATTACTACCGGGGCCTGGATTAACTCCGGTACCACCGCTACCATTGCCTCCACCGACGGCGGCTCCTCCACCTGGGCCACCGCCAGCTCCACCACCCGGGACCGTCGTATCGGCCATGGCAGAGCCAATTATCTCGGCAAGGTCCTCGATGTTGTTGATGTAATCGACCGTTTGCTGAGTCGATTGTGGCAATTGCTGCTGTTGCTGTTGATGTTGCTGTTGCTGTTGCTGTTGCTGTTGTTGTTGCTGCTGCTGATGGTGCTGATGCTGATGCTGGTGCTGATGCTGCTGGTGCTGTTGTTGCTGCTGCTGCTGCTGCTGCTGCTGCTGCTGCTGATGGTGGTGATGGTGATGTTGTTGTTGTTGTTGTTGTTGTTGTTGTTGTTGCTGCTGCTGCTTCTGAGTGACGGGGGGACAGGGGGTGCTTGAGGAAACGACCGAGGACTCGTAGTATTCGTGGTTGGAGGAGGGTGAGGGTGAGCTCGGCTGCATGGAGGGTCGTTGAGCCGAGGAGGCGATCGTGTGATAATGATGCCCGGGAATGCCGTTGATGCTCAAGTGGCCGGTGTAGCCGGTAAATGGGGGCAGTGGCTTGAGCTCGGCTAGTGACTGAGCCGCGGTAACGCCGACGGAGGAGCCCAGAAGGAGCGTGTCCCAGGCGTCCTCGAGACCGGCCGCGCTTTGTTTGGCATCGTGGGCCTCGAGGAAGTCGGCGCCCGCGGCTGCCCAAGGCGAGAGGAGCATACCCTCGACGCCGACGACCTCGCCGGGTGAGCCCGCGACGACGATGCCCGGGCCGGCCTGACTGCTGTGGGCGGCCTCGACGCCCGCGGTCCCCAAGTGCGCCGGGGGCCCGTTTTGCGTCTCGAATTTCATGTCGAGCGAGCGAGCGTACGCGTCCCGAGACTCGGGCCCGTCCTCGCCCGGATACTCGAGCTTCACCGGCCCGAGGAGGAGATCGGTCTCGTCGCCGGGCCCCTCGTGTGGACCGCTCGGTTCCCTGCGGCCGACGTATGCCTGGGCCCGCGCGGGGAGCCTCGTACTCGCGAGGAGGGAGCCGAGGAGGGAGGGCCCGAAGCCCGTGGAGGAGGTTGGGGCGCCGCGCGCCTCCGCCTCGTCCTCGCGCTTCACGCGGCCACCGAGGCCCGAGAGGAGGCCGTTGAGTGAGTCGGCCGCGGCTTGGGATGGGCCCGTACCAACGGGGGATGAAAGTAACGGGGCCAGTCGCCGCTGTGGACCCTGGGAGGAGTCGACTCGAGCGCCGCTGTCGTCGGTCCCCGGGAGCTGTTGCTGATGTTGAATACGAGCGGCGTTCGCTTGCTGAAGGCTGCTGGTTATAAGAGCGTAAGGGTCGGGAGCTTCACCGGAGGTAACGACATTGGACCGCGTGGAGGCGACGTAGCCGAGGCTGGCCGCCGAAGCCGTTGCGCTGTTTCGGTTGTTATTGTTGATGGTGCTGACGCTAGTGGCGTTATTGCCGTTGTTGCCGCCTCCACCGCCTCCGCCTTCTGTGCCGCCGCCACTGCCACTGCCGCTGTTGTTGTTGCTGCTACCGCTGCTACTGCTACCGCTGCTGTTGCTACTACTACTACTACTACTACTGCTGCTGCTGCTGCTGCTGCTACTGCTGCTGCTACTGCTGCTGCTGCTATTACTACTGTTGCTGCTATTGCTACTGTTGTTGTTGTTGTTGTTGTTGTTGTTGTTGCTGTTGTTGTTGTTATTGTTGTTGTTGACAGCGCTGCAGCTAGTGCCGTTGCTGGTGCTGCTGGCAACGCTACCGTAGCAGCCGTTCTCGGAGATGCGTGAATCCTGGGGTTCGAGGTGAGGTTGACGGTGCTGGTAGTGGCTGCTAATGGAATTTAGGCGGTCGTGGCCATTGCCGTTAGCGCTCGATGGGATGGAGCAGAAGTGGAAGTCGTCGTTGTCGAGTGGCGGCCCCTCGTCGATCCTTGGAGGTCCTGGACTCGAGACCGAGGGGCAGAAGGAACCAGGATTCCACCAGGGATCCACTCTACTGCCGGGGGTGCTGCAACCGCCAACGGCGCCGCGAGGACCTGCAAGCAAAACGGGGCATCTCATACATTAAACATCGTATGCCTGCCTCTCTCTGTCTCTCTCTCTCTCTCGCTCTCTCTCTATCTCTCTCTCTCGCTCTCTCTCTCTCTCTCGCTCTCTCTCTATCTCTCTCTCTCTCTCTCTCTCGCTCTCTCTCTCGGTATCTGTCATTCCTTGTCGCAGAGTCAGGACCATACGAGGGCTTTGAAAAAGGGTCGCTGCTCGCCAGGCCTTTACCGTCTTTGCCTCGCGTAAACGGAACAAGGCTAAAAAATGCCTTATTACTTTTGACTTTACACGCATACTGGCACTCGGTTAGAAAACTCTGGTTATAAAAAATTAATTTATCGGCGCATTTTACGACGAACGTCAATTTTATTGGCGCGCTCTCGCTGAAAAAGTAGAACTCTTAAGATTAAGTGGGATGTACATCCCAAGCGGTTGGCTAGCGCCGATCGCTTACTTTTCCAATCGCCTCATTCGAAATAGAGTAGTAGGCTCGCATCGGTTGGACGGAAAATCGTCCTATTAACGTTCCTAAAGAGGAGCGACGTAGATATGTTTGCGATCTGAATAAAAGCGTGAAAGGGGAGCATTCTATTGGGACGCTGTGAGACAATGGGTATGTGAGATAAGGATAAAATTCAAAGTGGGACAACACGGCTACGACCAAATCATTTAAGGAACCAACGAGTGCGATTGCCCGATCAATGCTTAATGGTTGGGTCGCTTGCTGAGCTCAGCATTTTATGCTATAGACATTCGAAAAAGCTATCTCCGATTGTCTGTAATGGTGAGCCTGGAATTTACGCGATGACATTTCGTGTGTATTGGCGGGAGATAACCTGGTGGGTCTTTTGAAGAGCATCGCGGTCTCCTTCTCCCTCTCCCTCTGCTGCGCGCTCACGCACTCGCGCACGGACGCACACCCACGCCCGCACACTATGCCCCTATGCCTCTCGCTCCCCTCCTCTCTCTCTCTCTCTCTCTCTCTCTCTGTCTCTCTCTATCAGTTTTTCATTGCTCGCTGGCAACGTCTAAAGAAAGGAAAGAGAGCCCAGGCCGATTAACTAGGTCAGTGGCACACTACTAGCCGACTCCTTCTCGGTCGTCCAAATTAACGCACATTAAGAGCAAAAAATGAAATAAAGAAAAGTGGCGGAAAGCGTCGGGAAGCGGAACGCGGGCGCAGATGCTCTCGCCGTACCACTCGATTTGAGTGTCTCAGGAATTAAGGGGATGGCAGCCGAATGCCGAAAGACGCGGACCGATCGACGATGGCTACTTTTACAGACGCAGAGGGAGCTGTTTTTTTTTGGCCGGCCGATCGAGGTTACCGGGCGACTCGATGGACTCGTGTAGCCCGCGTACCGTAAGCGGCTGGGAAATGGAAAAATTACGCCGCCGGCAATACCGATCGTCCAGTCGCCTATAAATTATATTTTCACCTCGCGCGACGGCGTTATCGATTCCTCCGCGGCTCGCTGACCTCCATAATTTATGCGACCGCCGCTCTAAAGATGCATCTCCCGGCGGCCCCTTCTTTCGTACGTGAGCCCCCCCCCCCATCCGCCCCTCGTCGGCCTTGTCGCAGGCCGTCCTTGTCGAATGCGGGGCCACCTCATCGAAGACAGACTCTCCCGTCATTCCCTCCCACTTCATCAGTCACTCTCTCGCTCACTCTCTCTCTCTCTCTCTCTCTCTCTCTCTCTCTCTCTGTACCACCTTCCGTACTATCCGTAACCCGGCTGTTCACCGGAGAATATGCGCTCGCCGCGTCCGCGAAACTCCCGTCATGTAAGTGGTGTCGGGGGCCCGCGATTTAGGCCGATATGCATCGAGGATGGCTTAGTTTGTCATGCTTTGTCCGGCTAGACAAAGCCAATGTGACGCGATTACGTAATATCGCCTACCGATACTTCCCCCCCCCCCCCGTATTATCCCGTCTAAATCCTCTCGAATAAGAAAAATGAAAGAGGTGAAGGAGGAGGAGGCGAATTCCAACTATCGGACATATCGATCGGGCCATCGCTACAGCCACACGCGGAGGAAAAATTTATTCAAACGCGTACGCACTCTCTCCCCCTCTTCGCTTCGTCTCGTCCCGTCGCCTCCTCCTCCTTCTCGCTCCTCATCGCACTCCTGCTCGCTCCTCGCCTCACTTCTGCGCGCTCCGACAAAGCGGAGGTGGAGGTGTGTCCGCGTATGGGCGCGCGGAACTCGGAGGAGCCGCGTGACGTGGTACGGTGGTACCGTTATCCCGGCAGTGGCGCGCCAAGGCCCTCGCGGACCCCGAGGTCGAAGCGCGGCAACGGGTCTTTTCGGCTCTTTCCGTTGTCGCGTGTGGGCGAGGCCGCGTATGCCGGTATTCGGCCGACGCACGTGGGCCTAACGAGGGCCTAACGACCGCCGCTAACGGACTGCATTATCGAGGATTATTGAGCGCGAGCGAACCTCGTACGCTAATGCGGTCAATTACCGATGAGTCAGGGCCCCCGTCGGCTTTTTGGGCCGATCGCTGAAAATCAATCCGCGTCACCGTCGGCATCTCACTGCACGCCTACCGAGCAGCCGAGGGGAGCCAGTGCAGGCAGGGATTTTCACAGAGTGGGGCACCGGTAAGGGCGCCCGTACATTAAGGGCTCCGATTACGTTCTGATTAGAGAGAGATAGAGAGATAGAGAGAGAGAATGAGAGAGAGAGAGAGAGAGAGAGAGAGAGAGTGAGCGAGGCGTTGAGGGGTGGACAGGGGGAAGGGAGAAGGAGATGGAGAAGGAACGGGCGTGCGTGTATACGTCCGGGTATGGTACGGGTGCTCTCTTAGAAGAAAAGAGGTTGGCCTGACGAGGAGCCTAACGAGGAGACGGAATAGCGAGTAACCGAAAGGAGTATTGCGCGTGGAAAGGCGAAAACGCGCATATTCATCTCGTTTCGTTTCCCTCTACTCCATCGGAGCCTCTGACTCGTATCTCTTTCGCCGAAGGTAAAACGGTAAGATAGATTAATGCGGGCGACTATTTACTCGAGATGATTAGAGGTGACGGTGGTGGTGGTGGTGGCCGTGGCGGCAGTTGGATGGTGGCAGGGGGGGGGGGGGGGGGGGGGGGGCGAGGACATTTGACTATGATCATTAATTATTGACAATATGCTTTAATAAAAATTACTTTATTCCAGCAATTACTTGTTTAATGATATTTACATTATAAAGTTAAATCTTGCACTGATGTGCATACTGGCACGGCTTTGCCTCCAGCCGAGTCATCCACGACGTCGTTGCTCCACTAGATTCAGGTGGGTTAAAGGGTTGGCGGCTGGTGGGGAGACGTAAGGAGAACGTTGGAGGTGGCTCTGGTGTGCACGTGGTCGGCAGTGGCTCTGGAGGTATGAGGCGGGGGCCAACTGTCACTACAAAAGTGGAACGGAGCACCGTTAGCCGGAGAGGCTCGTTCGCTCGCTCCCACCACCACCGCGCGCATCCAGCCGCGCTGCCTCCGGACGTTTTATTCTTTCTTTCATTCCTTCGTTCTTTCCTTCTTTCTTTCTTTCTTCCCATTTCTCCTGCGTGTAATTCCCCCTCCCCGACTTCCCCACCCCATCCGACCAGCACCACCACAGGCAACACCGCTACCGCCACAACAGCCACGGCCATCACCACCACCGCCACCGTCAGCTTCTTCTCTTCCTCCTCCTTCGCCTTCTCCTCCTCCTCCTCCTCCTCCTCCTCATGCTTATACCGCCGTTGCTGCTGCTATTACCGCTGCTGCTGTTGTTGTTGTTTCTGCTGCTGCTGCCGTTGCGGCTTCTACTTTTGTTGCTCTTGGCACGGCTCTCTGATCACGCAGACCCACGAATCATCGCACGCACGCACCGGAGAAAGAGCTCGTGCCGTGGGGTGGGGAAGGTGAGGGCTTTCCTTTTCATTGCGAAAAATGCCGCTCGCGTCGGTAGATCCGTCGGGACGACCTACTTACTAACCTCGAGTTTTCTCGATAGAGAGGGGATGAGAGATGGAGGTGCGCGCACTCGTTACAGTCTCACGGCTGAGTCCTACACTTCGAGATTCACTTCCACTTCCGGCGCGAAGCTTCGAAGACCAAGGCACTTGGGCTGATTTAACCTAGGTTCGATCAGAATTTTGTTCCCGATTGTATTGTGATAAGCCGTAGTGACGGATAATCTCTTGCGCCAGCTCGTTAACGACTACACTTTTCAAAGAGAACTTGAAGTACTCGATGAATAGTGCTCGAAATTAAAAATAGATAACTCAACTCAACGGAACCTACTTCTGAACGAATACTTATTCGACTCGTATTTACGTAGGAATTGTTGATAAATGGCTTCACGGCAGACATTGACACAATGCCAGCGTGCCATTAATTGCTGTCAAGCTCTATTGTTTTTCCGGTATCGAGCCGAAATAAAATCTTATTATATATGCATACGAGCAAATATATTAAACGAATGTATATTTCTCTACTTTCGACAAAATTGATAAGCATTACGCACCGATAGGTGTTTCATTAAGAAAATATGCTTTGTTTTCTCTAACGGTGAACAACAAAGAAAGAAAAAAAAAATGAAAAAATAGAAAAAAGGAGGAGGAGGAGGAGGAGGAGGAGGAGGAGCAGGAGGAGGAGGAGGAGAAGGGGGGAGAACGATATGGGGAGGGGGAGGAGGAGGAGGAGGAGGAAGAAAGAAGGAAAAAATATACGTATAGATAAGCAGCCCTGATAAAGTATTACAGATGTTGAACATATTGAGCCAACAACGAAGTAATGGAAATAAAATGGTCGAAGCAAGAGTAGGAGGGAAGGTTTGGGCGCCTCGCGCATTCGTTCGCTGAAATATTCCCAAAGTTCGACTCACTTAAGTAATGGGACTGCGGCGACGAATAATAAGCCTCGATTCGAGTAATCACACTCGCATTTTCCACTCGGCTCGTCCCGCCATTATAGCCTATAGTACACACAATGGGAGCACTTGACTGTCGCGAAGGGTC